AAAAAAAAAAAAGCAGATTGCTTATGCTTTGGTTTCCCCAACTTTCATTTTCCTTGGCACATGCTGACAGAGACTCTTAGCAAATCTCTATGCAAAAACTATTCTGCCAATGTCCCCAGCTCAACTCTGACAGCTCAGTGCAAGGGCTGGAGATACAAGACTCTAAGGAGCCTGCAGGGCAGTAACTTCTGGTGCAAAGGAGAAGGTGCCTGTGCAAGGAGGGACACACTCTGTGGCTTCCTGCCACGACTGGCTGTGGGTTTGGAGATTTGTCTGCTACCTGCAGCTTATACATGCTTAGTTTTTCCAGCCAAGTGCCTGGACCACAGTGAAAAAAACCTTCCCCCTCTCTCTCCCTCCCTCAAACAGACCGGAAAGACCACACAAAATCAAAAGAACCCAAACCAAACCGAATTCCAAGCAACACACATTTATACATATATTTAAAATTGTATGCAAGATATCACCCACAGGGAACCCCAAAAGGGAAAAGGAAAGGGAAAGGAAAAAGGGGGGAAAAAAGGGAAAAAAACTCAAATACTTCCCAGCTTCTCAAGACTTTTTTATCCCCCCAAAAGCCTCTCATTATTTCAACAAGCTCCTAATCTGAAATCGGAAGTCGTGGCGTTTGGGAGCCTGAACACTCTCCTGGGTCATCACTTCCACCAGTTTGTCAGCACAGCCTTTCGTCCCAGTTAGCGCCACGAAATATTCCAGCTGCATGTTAAAACACATTTCTGACACAGCTCAAGATGCCTGGGTACAGCGTGGGGATCCAGCAGCAGAAGCCACGTCCTCACGCCACCATCTGCCCCTCTTGTGGCACACTGTGAGCTGCCCCCAGACAGCAGGAGAAATGACTGCTCGGGGGAGTGTGACCCCGCTCTCTACGTGAGGAATCCCCTAAATATACAAGAAATACGGGAGAAGCCTCCAGATCCAGGATTATTTGCTAAATTGAGTAGGGTGAATGATGCCTGTGCTATGCAGATGAGCTGTCATATTGTCTCCCACAAAAGAGTGTCTCCAAAGGAACTTACACCTACTGCAATTATCCTGCAGCATATGGACATTTATAGGTCAACCTGAGGGGGGAAAAAAAAAAAAAGTGAGACTGATGGTTGTCCAAAAAAAGGAGGAGCCCAGATAATTTTCCAGTGTTATTTTGGAAAATGAAGATATTGAACAGGATAAGTTATACATAGCTGAGAGCCATTAGAAAATGTCAAATTGCCTCTAAAATGAATTAGGAGGAAAAAAAAAATGCCTCCAGTTGTCTTGTGAAAGAGAAGGGTGCAGTATTTAAATAAGATTCCCTAAAAAAAATCAGCACTGGAATGAATTTGCAAGCTTATTGCA